TTCAGTAGCCTAGGGCGCAACTCCACTAGTTTTTTTGCAAGAGTTTTGTGGAATTTCAGTGGATTAGGGTTAAAAATCCCCCAAAAAGCCAAAGGGCATAACACATCTACACAGGCCATCAATGGACAGAGTCAAGGCATCATGTCAAATTGAGTTATTCAAGTCTGATAATAACATACCCGGTATTCTGGATCGATTTAGGGCAAAATCGCTGACTCGCTGGATGAAGAGGCTGGATCTCGGAGGATGAAGACGCTGGATCTCGATCAAGTAGCTGACTCGGTGGCTGATCAATGGTTGGAGTTTGTCGGAGATAACAACCGTTGACTGGTTGAAGCTCGTCGGAGAAGAGGCTGGATCTCGGTGTTTGGTGGAGGCGGAGGGGCCACAGTCGTTTTTGGAGGAGGAGAGGTCACAGTCGTTTGCGGAGGAAGAGGGGAAAATTTTTGAAAATTTTTAACTTGGCTGTGATTTGGGAATTTTTAAGGGAGCAGATATAAATGACGTTTTTGAAACACAGATTGGAGTTGTCGTTTCTAACGACGTTTTCAGAACAAAAATTTTAATTGTAAATCGTCAATATAAATGACGTTTTTACATGTGAAGGCGTCATTTTAAATAATATTTTTTTAAAAAAAATATTATTTAAAACTAACTAGGTTGAGAAATTAAGATTCAAAGGGGACTTCGTTTAAGAAAAACCACGTCCTAAAGACAACTCTTAGAATATAATTTATGAAATGATCACCTCTAACCTTCAAGTGCAAGAAATTAGATAAACAAATAAATATGAATTCACGTAAGTTACTTAAGAAAGCGAAACCTTTTCTAGGCCTGACAAACGATGACAGATTTATTAGAGACTACAAAAATTAATAATATTATTTTGACGTAATTTATTGATTATTCTATTAAGTTTAGTGATTGATCATCGTGACTTGAACTGAGTTAGGTTATGTCTTTTATGAGATAGAGGTGGCTAGACTTTGAGATTAAATTTGAGACATCTAAGATATCAAATGTCAGATCCAACCACTGAATTACACCTAATAGCTTTATTAGAGATTTACTTATTTCTCCCACTTCATCCCAAAATTTTGGAGGGTAACGAAATTAGCTATGAGATTGTACAAAAGCTCTTACATACTTTCAACCACTTTGCATTATAACATTATTATAAGAGTGATTTTATTGGGACCTAATTTAGTGATTTAAGTTATTGACCTAATTTACTATAACCTTTGGATTGACTGTGGACTCCATTAAACATTAGAACTTAGTGTTAATCTAATGGTTTCAATGAAGCCACTTCATTAAGTCAATAAATTATGTCAAATTTTTAAATTTAAATAGCATTACTTTTATTATAAAACTACTTAAACAAGTAGAAAAAACAGCGAACAATCAAAGAAACCTTCTTAGTCCACGAGTGAATTATTCTCTCACACAGTATACAAAAATTAAAAAAAAACTTGTATCACAGCTAAGCACATAGAATTTTTGCTTAAAATGGTCGGGTTTGACATGTTTCCTCTCAGCAACCAGCCGACTCCAATGAAAACGAAAAAAGTTAATTAGACCTCTCTGTCTCTCTGACCTCTCACACTTACTCTGAGATGACTGACCAACTCTTGCATAAGACCATCAACGACTTCCACACGTAACTTACCGTTCATGGTTGTTTGAAGATGTTGAATTTGGGAGGTTTTTGCTTTGTGAATTTGGGAAGTCGAATTTTTTGGATATTGGTTGCAGGTTACTCTTCAGATTTTGCTAGTTAAGTAACTGGTAGTGAATGTGGGATGTTGTATGATTGAGATTTGGGGTTATGAATTTGGTAGTAATTTATTGTTTACTTTATGCCTACAACTTTCGCTTTTACCATCCTTTGTTATTGTTATAACAAAATGGGTCAAAGAGGTGTAATGGGTTGCGAGATAGAAGATTTTTCACGTATGAACCTAAATGACTCTTTTGTTTAGTGGGTGATGTATATGGATTGTGTTGAGTGTTTTTTCCACACGAACTTACTTCACTTAACCCGATTGCCAGACATTCTCCTTACCCTCCGAAACACCCATGTCAAACCCTCCTCTCTCCCCCTTCTCACCATGCTAGACCCCCAAGCAACAAACAGAGAGATGAACATAAAAACCGCTTTATGTGCCTACCTCTACCTTATCATTGATGTCAGGGGCCAAACATAGTATATGACTACCGTAAAGGAGAGCTTTAGGATCAGGCCAGTAAAGGCCAAATTCTCATTCCGCTCGACACAGAGAGGTGGTTTTGGGGGGGATCCCGGAGAGAGATTGATTGCTGCTAATTTATACTTTTTAAACTTAGAAAGTGTGATTGATATTGATGCTAAATTTATTTTTGATCCGGGGGAGAGAGAGTGTGTTTGAGTGATTGATGCCTAATTTTCTTTTAAATTTGCATGTGCCTGGTAAAATTTTTTTTTTTTTTGGGTGTGTAAAAACTCCTGGCTGGACTTTTGGCCCTGATCAATTAAGAATATTTTGTTGGTTTAACCAATCATTTGAATTTTGGCTTTGTTTTAAATGGGTTTGATATTTTGTCCTGGATCATGACATGGACCTATAAAATAGGTGACCTTCTTTGTAGATGAGTTCTAAAACAGTTGCTTCATTAATTGTCATTACTATGGGGCCAGCCTGCAAGCATATTACTTTTAGCTGTCATTCAATTGTTCATGAACCTGTTACATATGGGTGATGCTCCACCAAATAATGTTGTTCATTAAAGTTGAGTGCTTTATTCGATGATCTTGAATGTTTTATGCTGAATGTACATAAACAAATGCATCATAAGGCCTCATCAGTGTCCTGAGAAAAAGACAAACTTTGTGGGGCAATAAAGTTATTCTATTGTAATTTGATTGCCATTGGTTCTAATCACAGGGACATTCTCTTCGTATGCAAAGATATGCAAATATAATCGTGTGTAACCTGAAGGAATGGGTTCTAATTAACAGTATTGACATGTAAAAGTTGGTGACTATGATGAAGCTCTCCGCAATGTGTTCTATAAAGAGAACTGATCCAGCAAACAGCAGCAGCAACAACACAACTTTTGATATCAATGATGAATCTGAGAGGCTACACATACTAATCGTAGATGAATCGTGCCATGACAATACGGTAATCAAAGAATGGTCAGAAGTGTATGCAGGAGACAGAACAGGTAACAATCTATCTAGGAAACGCCGAATAGAGAAAGTTCCATCACTGATGCGAAGGGCACACGAAGGAGACAATCAAGAGTACAATCCCAGGGTGGTTTCTTTGGGTCCTTATCACCATGGTAAACAGGAGCTTCAATTAGCTGAGAACCTAAAACATTCCATTCTGCCCAAGTTTATTTCAGGCAGTGGGAAACAGTTTGATGATTTCTACAATAAGGTTCTGGAAGTGATTGATGATGTTAGAAGCTGCTACGTTGAAGGTTCCACCAGTGACTACAATGACCAGGAATTTGCCGAAATGATGCTTCTTGACGGTTGTTTTCTTCTATACTACATAGAATGCATGTCAAATCGACGATTGGAAATTTGGGAATTTGTGCATCATATGGGCATGTTTGCCGCGAAGTATATATTGTCAGACTTGTTTTTGCTTGAGAACCAACTCCCACTGCAATTACTCGAGGCTTTGATGAGCGAAAGATTCAAAGAAGATGAGAGGGGAGGAATGATAGAAAATTTCTTTGCAGTAATGTTTGCAAAAGCCCCACCCCCACGAAGTAAGCATAGCATTTCACGGAGGGAAGATGAAAAGCAGCCTCTTCATCTTCTTGAAGCTCTGCGCACAATTCTCCTCTCCAACTACGATGAAGATAAGCAAAGGATTCAATCTTCTTTGTTCCCAAGTGGAAGAAAGGAACTTCCTATTGGTGATGTGAAGGAGTATATTCGGTCATCTATTCGACCTGTCACAGAACTCCAAGCAAAAGGAATTCAATTTAAGCGTAGCAATAGTGTAAGTTTGAAGGACATCAAGTTCAATTCGAAATGCTTTTATGGACAGCTTAGTCTCCCTCCTCGGATCATTAATGCTCAGACCAAGACTATTTATTCGAACCTGATTGCTTATGAAATGTGCCCGTGTACTCCTAATGATTATGGGATCACTTCATACATTAGTTTCATGAAATCACTCATTTGTCAACCTGAGGACGTGAGAGAGTTAAGGTCAAAGAACATTCTTATCAATTGCCTGGGTAATGATGAAGAGGTGGTTAAAATGTTCAAAGATATCATCACTTACGATCTGCAGAAGTTTGGCATCTATGATGAGGTTAGGAAGGACATTCAGAACCACTACAACAACAAGATGAAGACATGGATGGCTGAATTGATTCACAAATATTTTAGTAGCCCATGGACAGTCATTGCTTTCATCGCAGCAACTTCTCTTCTGGCCTTGAGTTTCCTGCAGACCTACTTCACAATCTCCCACCATTGAATCATGTACCAGATACATCGGATCAGTAAGTTAATTATAGTGATATGGACTATGACTTTGTGCGCTTTAGTTTTAAGTTCTCAACTTGTCATCCTTCACAATTATCATATATATGTTTAGATTATTTGTTTAACATTTTACCGGGGGTTATAATAGAACGCAAAAACATGATGTATTATTCTAATCTTTGATTCGAATTTGACACCACGTGAAAACTTCTGTTTTTTTTTGTTATGTAGCTCGGTGTGTATAGTCATAAAGGGTTGTGAAGTTATGAAGTAAGTAAGAATTGTTTGGAAAGAAATATTGTTATTTTTCTGGTTAATTAATCAAATTCTGATTCATATCCCATTTCTTAACTAATCACTGCCCCTCTATGTAACATTGGTAGAAAAACAATAAAAATTGTTGCTGATATAAATTTTATTAATTAGTTCATTCAGACAAATGAACTTCATTTCATTAAATTTTGGATGATAAAGCTGAAATAAATAAATATTGTGTTGAATATGATCAGTAATTGGTTCCTTTGCCGTCATCACACATGGGTGTTGTGTAGTAGAATGGGCCGAGCACATGTTTGATCATATCTCGGTACACCATGGTGGGTCGGCCGAGCTTCACCCCTCTCCGGCCACCGGAAAAATCGGTGACAATGTTGCAGACCGGGTCTGGTGATGAAACCAGCCTTAGAAAACAGTTTGTGAGTTTGAGCACTTTCCCATTGAAGTACTTGTTTATGATCATCTCAAAATTACCAGCCTCATCAGTGTCGTCACTTCCATAGTACACAACTCTAATTACAATTTGTCAGATTATTACATTTTTAAGGTCCTATGTTTGAATGTAGTGAATCTCAATAAATCATCAAAATGTTATGATTAATCATGAAAAATACAAATTTTAAAAGTCAAGTTACGTTTTTGAACTTAAAGTCAGGATTAATCGATGTTATTTATGATCGATCATAAAATTGTAATTGTAACTTGATCTTTAATACTGTTGTTTTTTTGCTACTATAATCTTTTCTTTTGATATTTAACGAAAGCATGCAACACTTTAGGGGTTTAAAGGTGTTGGTATCATTTTTGTGTTATGTTAGATTGTATCATTTTCAAATTCCTATGATGTTCATACTCATGTATACCGTGAAATAGAAATCACAAGAATAATATACCAAATTGTCTCTTAATCAAGTCCATCAAACATGAATCTTCTGTGAATTAAAAATCTACATAGCGAAATTATACTAACTCAATTCTATTAAATATTCGTGTCATTTTTAATTTGTGTTGGGTTAAGTTGAATACATGTGTGACTTTATCTGATTTCCCAAATAACAAAAGTATTATAATGGCTGATACGATCAGTAGTAATCTGCTTTTGGAGGTGGAGTCAAAAGGGGTTAGGTTTGGTGCAGGAGGGGGAGCATCACATGGGTGTGGGTTCATACACCATCCATGATAGAGTTAAAAAGTGGTGTATTAGACCCCCACCCAACACATTTAGGTGAGACCAGGCGCACCAAATCGTGCGTTGGTTGGTCCAAAATAACTTTGTGATCTCCTTCCATTGATTTTTAAGGATCAACTTGCTTTGTCAATCTCACTTACGTAAGTATTTTAAAGTTAGGGATGGTAATAGACCGAAAAAGAAAAAAAATTTGTCAAAATTCATCCTATTTGAATTGGGGATGGAGGCGGAGATAGACCGACACTTACCCCTGCCCCACTAGACCTGCTAGATTTTCATAAATATATATAATATATCAATAGAAATATTTGTATAGTATACCTATATAGTATCATATATATATCTATATAATATCAAATTTTGATGCCTTTCTTACCTCGGATTTGGTTTATTGTGTGATTATTGTGTTGGATATGTTGTAATCTGTTATTATGGATGGGTGGTGCTGGTGGTGGTGGGGGCGATGGTGGGTATGGAGAAAGGGACTAAAATTTATCTGCGTAGCAAGGACAATGATTAAAATTTTTTCTGCTAACGGAATTGAAATGGGGGTGAATGAATATTTTTGAAGCGGGTACGGGAGTAGAGACTACTCCCCCCACCCTTGCCCCGGTCCACTTTCATCCTTACTAAGCTCAATTTTCCTTCTTTTTTTTCCTCTACAAAGCCAAGAACCTAAATAACACACAAGCCGAGAACACAAGCCGGGAACCAACCCTCCAATTCCACGCTTCCGATGAGACTAAAACCTACTAATTAAGCTTAGTTAAGTCGATCACCTCTGACTTATACAACTAGTAAATAGTCAATTATAGTCAAGCACAAAAGTTGATCTCTGGTGCCTTTCTTTTGGGCTCTGTTCTACCGTTCCTTTGGTATCTCTCATGCCTCTCTTCAAAGCTTTATTATCCTTTTTGGAGTTTTTTTTGGTTTCATTGTATTAATATATTTCTCCGACTTCATACTATAATGACTAGTGTTCCGCCAATTCATATGAGAAAATAGTAAAAACTTAGAATCTCTAACCTCTTTATCAAAAAAATGAGGGTGATACCACTTACAAGATGCCATCCACATGCAAATGTCTCTTCTGGTGATGAAATTTGCCTAGTTTAACAAATTAACAATAGTTTGATTTCATAATCTCAATGATTAATAGTTGTGTGATTTTTTGACCCTATGTAATTGTAGTGGGACCCAACCCAATTGCGAATCAACTTTTTTTGAGATGTTTAGGTCCCCATCACATCCATTCCCTCAATTACAAGTGACAATGGACCTCCCTCACTTCACTTTTTTTCCCCATCCTATCAGATCTAAAGTAATCTTGAAGATATTGTCTGCTATTCTATTCTTGTGTCCTACCTTGTTTGGCCCATGTTGGAGTATATATAGTCTAGGTTTATTAGGATTTCTTTTTTCTTTTTTACCCTTACTATGATTTTTATATTTATCCTAAACTACAATGATGTTTAAGTCACTCTGTATTATTTTTGGATATATATACGGGGTTCTACTCTTAATTTGAGTATCCCTTTTCATTCACAACTATCTCAAGTTGGTATCAGAGCCACTAACCCTAACCCTAACCTCCGCCAATCGTCATAACCAAACAGACCCAGCCGCTGCTCCTCCTTCACATTGCAACAGTAACCAGCCATCAACCACCACACTGTCCAGTAGCACCGACAGCCAGCAAGCATCCCACTCCGTCCACCCAGCAACCACACCAAACAGCCACCACTCAAACAATCATCGACTGCCCAAACCCAAACCAGCGAAGTCGTCTCAATCCCCGACACCGACTGCCCAGCGAAACCACTCAATCACCGAACACCGAACCAGACCAGGCGACTGCCCATCACCGACAAATCAACCCTCTACCTCAATCCTAAAATACCCAGCAACCTTAATGATCACCCATTGACCCCGTCCAGCGACAACCCTAAAAAACTAAAGTCCAACGACATACCTCACTCCGTCTAACCAACGAAGTAGCACCGACTGCCCACAGACCACCAAAATTCTCCGACCTAAAAAAAAAACTATCCTAGTGAACTTAAATATTGTTCACTAACCCAACACAAACATACCAAGCAGCCCACTGCCCAGTATTGCCTCAGCCCATTAAACATATACTAAACCCAACCCACTGTTATATTTAGGATTTTTTATGAGGGGTTGTTGATTTGCTCTTGATGCAGTAGATCACTTATTTATATATTTTGGATTTCTGGGCACCGTGACTTGATTATTTGGGAGCTTTTTGGACCTTCCCTATTTGTCGCTACTGTTCGACTGAAGGTATATTGTTCTCCCTTATTTTATTCCTCTATTTATCTTAGAGTTATTTTTCTGTCACGGGTGCCCTAGTATTGTTGTTGATATGGCTACTACTGAGGGACTTGAGAACCCTACTGTTGACACCTCTACCGTTGAGACATCTATGGGTACTTCCACTTTTATGTTTGACCAGTATACAGTGCCTACTAGCACAGTTGCATTACCAGCATTACCGGGCATGATCTCTCAAAAAGTTACGGCACAATTGTTGAATGGTCGTAACTTCGCTGAGTGGTCACGCTCATTCCAGCTTTTCTTAGGCCGTGTAGGGAAGCTTGGTTGGCTGACGGGATCTCACCCAAAGCCAGCTGATGCCGACCCTGGATATTCTGCATGGTTCTCTGAAAACTGTGTCATTCTTGGATGGTTATTTGGCTCAATGGAGCCCTCTGTTTGCAGGATCCACCAGTTTCATAGCTCTGTTCCGAAGCTATGGAGCGCATTATCAGAGATGTATTCTCAGTCAGGACGAGGAGTTCGTGTTTATGAGCTTTCTCAGGAGCTCTCATATGCTCGGCAGGGAGATATGACCGTTCAGGATTATTATGGCTATTTGACCCAGCGCTGGCTTGAGTATGAGTCTCTACGTCCTCTTGCTGCTATTCCGAAGATAGAGCCCGAGGGAGCAGCATTCTTGCATACTCGAGAGCAGGAGGATAGGATTCACAAGTTCCTTATGGGGCTTCGTGATGAGTTTGAGGGACCTCGTTCTCAGATCTTGTCGATGTTGACACTTCCTTCTCTTTATGAGGTGTATGGGATGATTGAGCAGTATGAGCGTCGAGTACGTATTGCATCACTTCCAGTTGCAGCTTTGCCTCCTTCGATTGACCAGATGGCCCTTGCAGCTGCTGTAGGGTCCCGTTCAGGATCCTTAGTTAGGGATAGGCAACGCTCAGACCAGCACCGTCAGGGCGCCCCAGATCAGCGCAGACGGGGGGATTCCCGTCAATGTGATTATTGTGGCCGACTAGGACATCTCAGGGCTACTTGCTGGAAGCTCCATCCAGAGCTTAAGCCACCTTCTCGCAGCCGTACTGTTGCTATTGCTGAGGTACCACCGCCCACTACCGCCACTCCTGCTACTGCTCCTCCTTGGCAAAGTGATATGGATGCTATCACTTCCCGATTAGATATACTTATGTCTGCTCTGACTTCTCAGAGTCTGACTACTGCTGCTGTCACCACTACAGGTATATCTCGTGCCTTTCACGCTTGTGCCAGTTCATCTCCCCTTTGGATGTTGGACTCGGGTGCGAATGGTCACATGACAGGTGAGGCCCATCACTTCACCACTTTTGACGAGCCATTACATACACAGGTTCAGTTAGCAGATGGAACACATGCCCCTATTGTTAGTAGGGGTACAGTCCGTCTCCCAGATGGCCTTACATTACATTCGGTTTTTCATGCACCAAAGTTGGCCATGAATCTATTATCTGTACATCAGTTAGCCAGAGATTTTCACTGTGCGGTTGTATTCTTATCTGATTCGTGTTATTTGCAGGACCTGAGTACCAGGAGGATTATTATCAAGGGACATGAGAAAGATGGACTGTATTATCTTGGCAATCCATCTCCAGTTTCACCAATTCCTTCACCTGCACCTGCTTTGTCTTTTTCTGTTCCTAGCTTGCATGCTAGTATTTTACCTAGTAGTTGTCGTTATGATTTTTCGTCACAAACTGTTCAATTGTGGCATGACCGTTTTGGACATACAAATTTTAAATATTTATGTATGTTGTTTCCTGCTTTGAGTAATGCTTGTGTTGGTGGTAAACTTGATTGCGTTATCTGTTCCCTATCAAAACATGTTAGGGCCAATTATATTCCTCGCATGCACCAGTCACCCAAGCCATTTGACCTAATACACTCTGATATTTGGGGACCCTCTCCCGTTACTGCTCTGTCAGGTGCCAGATATTATGTGACATTTATAGATGATCATACCCGTTGTACTTGGGTCTACCTTTTGCATAGGAAGTCTGATGTGCTCCCTATAATCACTCAGTTTTTACAGATGATTAAGACACAATTCGATGTCATTGTTCGTGCTCTTCGTTCGGATAATGCCAAAGAATATGTGTCTGATGCTTTAGTGTCTCACCTTTCTTCTCAGGGTATCCTTCAGCAACTCACTTGTCCATATACTCCTGAGCAAAATGGTGTTGCTGAGAGGAAAAATAGGAGTTTGATAGGGATGGTACGTTGTCTGCTTAGAGGCATGAGGGTACCAAAATCTTATTGGCATTTTGCTGTTTTGACTTCTACCTTTCTGTGCAATCGTACGCCGAGTCGTGTTCTTCAGCATAAGGCTCCCTTACAGGTCTTATTTCCTGAGCGGACACTTTTTCCGGTCCCCCCTCGTGTTTTTGGATGCACATGTTTTGTTCAGGATCGGTCTCCTACTCGTCATAAACTTGATGATAAAGCGATTCGTTGTATCTTTGTGGGCTATTGTCATCAATCTAAGGGGTATCGATGTTATGATCCTATTAGGCGTCGTATGTATCACAGTCTAGATGTTACCTTTCTTGAGCATATTCCTTATTTTCCTTTCAGTCCTTTGTCTGCCCCTCCAGTTGATGATACTCCCTTTGATTTTCCATTACCACAAGAGTCAGAGTCATTGATCACTATCCCTACAGGGTCATCCGTTTTTCCTCCAAAGGAGTCACTCATCCCTGTCAGTACAGAGTTACCAGTCTCTCTTCCTTTGCAGGTGTATGCTCGTTGTCCTCGCTCTCATCACCCTGCTGATATCCCCTCTACCTCAGGCGATGCAGGTAATACTTCTCAGTTTGTTGAGCATATTGATGCACCTGTTGTTAGTACTGATGAGATTACAGGTGCTGAGCCAGTTACTTTACCTGATAAGATATTATCAGTAGAGGATGGTGATTTAGGGCGTCGTTATCCAAGGCGTGATCGCCGTCCAGTTGATCGATATGGTTGGACCGCCAAGATTTTATATCCGATCTCTGCTTATGTTTCTTATGGTAATCTGTCTCCCACATTTCGAGCTTATACTATGGCCTTATCAGATACGCTGGTTCCTCGCTCTATTTCGGAAGCTATGCGGGAGCCCCAGTGGGTTCTTGCCATGCAGACAGAGATGGACGCTCTTCAGCGTAATCATACATGGGATCTTGTCTCCTTACCTTCAGGGGTGAAGCCTGTTGGCTGTCGCTGGGTTTACACCCTGAAGTTTCTTGCGGATGGTACTATTGATCGTTACAAGGCTAGACTTGTGGCGAAGGGCTTTACTCAGGTACCAGGTCGTGATTTTGGTGCTACATTTGCCCCCGTGGCAAAATTGACTACTGTTCGGTTAATTATTTCTCTGGCTGCGGAGTACTCTTGGCCTCTTCATCAATTAGATGTGAAGAATGCGTTTCTTCACGGTGATCTGGACGAGATTATTTATATGGATGCACCACCGGGCTTTCGTGGTGAGGGGGAGTATGCTGGAAAGGTATGTCGACTGCGTAAGTCTCTTTATGGACTGAAACAGTCGCCACGAGCCTGGTTCTCTCGCTTCAGTGATGTAGTCATACGATTGGGGTTCACCAGGTGTCATTCTGATCATACCTGCTTTATTCGACGGAATACTTCTGGACAGTGTGTCATCCTTCTGGTATATGTTGATGATATTATTATTACTGGTGATGATGTTTTTGGGACTGCGCAGGTCAAGATAGACCTTGGGAAGGCCTTCGATGTGAAGGATCTTGGATTTCTGCGATACTTTCTTGGGATTGAGGTTGCCCGTAGAAGCAGAGGTATTGTTCTTTCTCAGAGAAAGTATGTTTTGGATCTTCTTTCAGACACTGGGATGTTGGGGTGCAAACCGGCATTATCACCTATGATTCCAAACCTGAAGCTTACTGCTGAAGGTGAGGAGTTGAAAGATCCGACAGTTTATCAAAGATTGGTAGGTAGACTTATCTACTTAGCCAATACTAGGCCGGACATTTCATTCGCAGTCAGCCGAGTTAGTCAGTTCATGCATAGGCCATGTCAGCCTCATCTTGATGCAGTTTATCATATTCTTTGGTACCTCAAGTCTTGTCCTGGACTTGGGTTGTTTTATGCATCAGGATCTCAGACCGGTTCTCTAGCCTGTTATTCAGATTCAGATTATGGGGGAGCATGTGATGGTCGATTTACTACGGGTTTCTGTGCTTTTCGAGGGACTCATCTTATCTCTTGGAAGAGCAAGAAGCAGGCAGTTGTCTCCCGCTCGTCCGCAGAGGCAGAGTATCGGGCATTGACACTTGGCACATGTGAGATTATCTGGCTACGATCGATTCTTGACGAGTTGGATTTTTCAGTGACCTCTCCATCCACATTATATTGTGATAATCAATCTGCTATTCAGCTCGCTTCTGACTCTGTACTACATGAGAGAACGAAGCATATAGAGATCGATGTTCACTTTCTTCGGGAGAAGGTCAGTAGTGGTCTTGTTACTCCATCGTTTGTGGGGACCAGTGATCAAGTTGCGGATGTTTTTTACCAAACCTGTCACTCTGTCTATTCTTCGGGACTCCGTTGTCAAGCTTGGCTTAGTTGACATTTTTGCGCCTAGCTTGAGGGGGAGTGTTGGAGTATAGATAGTCTAGGTTTATTAGGATTTCTTTTCCCTTTTTTACCCTTACTATGATTTTTATATTTTGCCTAAACTACAAGGATGTTTAAGTCACTCTGTATTATTTTTGGATATATATACGGGATTCTACTCTTAATTTGAGTATCCCTTTTCATTCACAACTATCTCAAGTGCCCATATGTCCATTGATACCCTTTTTCTGGTTATAAAAGCCATTTGGTCCTAGACAAAGGCTTTTATCGGTTCTTTCTTTCAACTGCTCTTTGATCATCACCAAAAAAAAAAAAAGGCGTAGTCTAAGGTATTGAAAAATAAAATTTTAGTATTATTATTTATAATTTTTGTGAATATTTTTATCATTCTTGTGGTACTTGCGATCGATCCTAACAATTACCCACAAAAATAATAAATTTTTTTGTTGTAAACTTATAGCCAACAAAAATTATAAAAACACTCATTAAAATTATAAAATTTGGAGGTGCAGTACTGAATTTTTTTCGATTCTGGAGTTTTCTCCAAAAGAAAAAAAAAACTTCTATGATAATCAACCAGATTAGACTTGTCAATAAATAAAAGTTTTATTTGGATTTCAATATTGTAATTGATTCAATTCGAGCTATATGTAATTATATGCTTTTAATAAAATTGGGGGATTCTTGTATGAAGTTCATCTCAATTACGAATTTTCAAATCGAACTTCTAATTCTTAACGTATTTGATATATTAACAACGAAAATAAAATTTATTAAACAATCAAATCAAAATATGATAAAAAATTAAGATATATTTGAGATTTAAATCGATCAAAATTCGATACAAATATTCACAGGCCCGTCAATACTTTTTTTGGTGGGGGTATTATGTGTGTTTGGAAAAAAAAATTTCATTACAACGGTGATATCACGTCAACATTGTCACGTAGTATCACCAACCAATAATATATAGACAAATAAGGAAGTAGATTCCACACAAGGCAATAACTATCGTCAATAACTACTCAGGTGGAGTTTACTTTACCTATTTGAGATTTTATTATTGGTTAATGATATTAAGTCATTAACACTGATACAATATTACCGGTGTATTGAATATTCTTTTGTGGAAGGGGAGGGGGAGCGGGGGGGTTTATCTGTTTGGTGGTTGATGGTGAGCAGTTCTATATATATCCATCCACGTGGTGTGCCATATTCTTTGCCTATTTAAAGGTTGCTCTCTATGACAGTCATTGTGGTTATCCTTTGTTGAAGACCTCAGCCCTTAGGCTATCTTATAATACTGCACTTTCTTAAGCTTCTTTCTTTCTTATTGCTGTTTTTGGTTCTGCTACTCACTGTTCTTGTACAATATGGCCTCTTTGGTACCTGAAAATTGGTCATGCATGAATGGCCCTAATCATGACTTCCATAACATGGAAGTCTCAGAAGTGGAAACTACCCTTCTCATCTCACTACTTGATGAATCACAAGGTGACGATATTTGTGACGATGAAAGATTAAGGAGTGTAATTCAATCTCTGGAAGTTGAGATCGGTCCTCAAATGGTCGACGATGTTCATAACTCATTTGTGGATCCTTCTTACTATACCAATATGGCATTGGAAGAGGGTTGCCCATTGTCCGAGGGTGGGGTACACGCGGACGGTCAGGATTGTTCCTCATCTTGTGATCTTGATCATACCTATTGGATGGATATGGAGATGATGCTTTCCTCACCTAGTGATTGCATGATCAATTGGTATTTGGACTCCTATGGAGAGGATATGGAGGGTATGGGTATATTTGAGTTTGGTGTTAGAGATTGTTTTTCTTTTAGTTACTATGGAAATTGTATAGAGGACCATGAGTATGGTTCTTTGTGGCAAGATACAAATGATTCAGAGATGGACAGCTAAGATTTTGCCACTCTTATGATCAAAGCCTTGAAGCACAATGAATTCTGCTATTTGTTATAAATATTTTATAATTGACAGTCTAGACCCTTAATTTTTTAAGTTTATTATTTTCTTTATAAGTGATGAGTAGATTAGAAATGCTAAAACATTTTTTTTTTTTTGGGAAGGGGAAGGGGAAGAGGGATTTGATCTCTTGACCTTAAGAAGGCAAAGCCTTTACAAGACAAAGAGTACCATTGAACCAAAAGCTCATTGTTAAAACTCGTCCCATAATTAATGATGAGATTGTGTAAAACCTTAATGGAATTAGTGATGAGATTTATGAAATTCGTGGTAAACGATATTACATTACTCCTACATTTTACAATTCAATTATGATATGATTCAATTATCTGAAGGGTGAAGGCTCCATTCGACAATCCACAAGTGGGAGACCTTTAACCCGCTTTGGAACTATTTTGATTTACCAGATTGATAGATAATTCTTTAGGATTGGGTAAAATAAAAATGTGGAGCCCATATTTCCCATATTTGGCAAGTTAAAATTAAGGGATTAAGATTATGATTAAAATTATTAATATGCCCTTACTTCGTCTCAAACACTTTATTGGATGAAGGACAATATTGTCAAAAACACATCCACGATTGTAAAAAGTGCCATTCGATTTGATATTACATCTCAAGACTCACATGTTACTTTTATTCCTATCTAATCACTCGCAGAATTGAAATAGAAAAAACATATTCGTATTCAACCTTACCTAAAAGATTTAATTGCATGGATTTGGATTAGTTTATCTAAATCAATCTAATCTTAAATTTGGAAACTTACCAAGTGGCCCCTTTCTGTCTTTCGGATCACATGACATGTCACATTTTATATAGAAATAAGCGTGAGACTAATTTTTTTCTGTAATTTTATATATTTATCAACGTATGATCTCTCAAATATATTTTTTTTCCTATTTTTTTTATGAATAGATCATTTACGTTGAATCCAAGTGAGACCGTGATTTACCAAAAAAAAGAAAATGGAAAGAAAAAGTATTGGAAGGTGGGCTGTTCATTTGATCTAGTCTCTGAAGTTAAGGGATTTGGAGATCTAAAGGCCAATCAACAAGTTGTGATGGGACCAAGCACCATGTCCATGTGCACACACAAGTGAGTTGAATGGTCATTTGGGTAACACTATCCCCATTGTTCAATGGTGACCATTGACCAACTTGTCCTCCAGCTCTTCTTCCTCAAACACCTTTACATAAAATACCTGCTGGTTGTCCAAACTGGTCGAAACCCATATATCACACATTGAATGGTTACCTATTATAGAGGACCCCCAAGACCCATAACTGATAACTGTTCATGACCTCAAAGACCCAATTATGTGTGCTATATATATAGGAAAATGTGCATATGTATCATATTCCTTTCTTAACCCATGGAAAGATGAAAACTTAAACAGATGAATTGAGTTCTTTCTTGCCTCAATTTAGAAAGATTGGCTTAAGTTGTCCACAAACATCCATTTCATAATTAATTTTTTTTAATTTGATTCTCTTTTCACAGTTAACAATAAAATTCATTGTTTGTTGTTTACTATCCCACATCGATTTCAGCTCCGAGGAGGGAAGAAAAAAGGGCACATGGTGGCTCCTGCATCAGAGTGATATATTTAAATAGTATTAATTGCATTTCATACCCAGGGAAATTTTGGAAATGTCAATTTGTCCCACTTCAAGTTATCAAACTTTTCATCCTCAAATTTCAAACACTAGTGTGTCCCACGTTATTTTTTTATGTATATGTTGAGTTATTTTGGTTAAAAATAAAATTTAAATGAATTATTGTACTTAGAAGGATAAAAAAGTTAAAATTTAAATGAGTTACCGCAATTAAAAGATTAAATGATTAAACTTTAAATAAGTTACTTTAAATGATTTATATTAAATTGTAATATAAATCGTAGGATCTAAACCATTTAAACCATTGGTGTATTTTTCTAAGTGATGAGTATAAACAACTCATGCAGCATGCCCTATTTTATTATTATAGATGTGTTTCGACTTTTACATTATGTTTCAATTTGCATCATCCAATTATGAATCAAATGAAAGGGCAAATTGCACTGCTACCCTAAAGTATGACCTTTATTTCACATTGACTCCTAAACTATCTATTTTCTCACATTGCTCCTTAAACTATTAGATTGAATTCCATTTTTTCACAAAAGGATAATGCAAAAGCTAGAAGATGTGGTCTTCCTGTTGTCAACGGGAGAAATTCCATTTTCTCACGTTGTACTGTAAACTATTAGATACCTGTTATTACATCTACACAGTAAGTAGAAATACAACCACGCCCATGTAACGAACGATAGTTTTACAAGTGGCTCAGCCGGAAAGCCTTTTCTATAGGACCATTATCAGAACATTTTATCAAACCAAAAGCCAGTTTCATCAATCTCACATCTATTAAAGAGAACATCGACAACCACAAAAATGTATAGCTTGACCTACCACAGCATTAGCAGGGTTTCGACTCCACTTCTTGCAACCCACAAACCATGTTAGCGGGGACTGCTACGTCCATCATCTTTGGATATGACAAGTTCAAATCTGTTGTAATAATTATGCACTGCTAGCAATTTTGCAGGACAAAAAAAAATGCTTGTGAAGAATTAAATATGCAACATTGCTTTCGACAGTTTCTTGATAACTGATTACTTACTTGCCATGATGTTCTTGAATGCCTCCTGCAGCAGCACGTTTGTTCCATAATGGAAATAAATTAGTAAAAAGAAAGCAGAACCCAATCAGTCAAAATAAAGATATATAATAAAATAATTTTTGGCAGGAAAAGAGATGATTTTCTGTCCAAATGCATCAGTGTCCTCATTTTCTGAATCGATGCTTTTATGTGGTATCCCAAAGTTGCATCCCTAGATTCTCATGAATTTTGCAATACTCTTTGCATACAACATAGTACATCCAATGAAACAGGATACCGTCACAGAAGAATTACAAGGTAAATTAGCTGCCTAATCCAAACTTCCTCGTCTAGTTTGTTTATTGGAGTAGCGCTTCAGCAAACCACATATGCAGTTGAAAATGTATGCGAACAACAGAGAAGATGAATTCAATTAAAAGACTGTCTGTCTTAAGAATGATGGTAATGCAAGTCTCTCAGACCTTTTCTAAGACCTAATATCCCAAAATGAAAGGAGCTAGAATCAGGTGATTGTTTTGTTATTATGAAACAAGAGGCCAAGATTGATTAGTTACCACAATCAAAATAAGCAAGTACAAGCTAGAGAATCACCTCATCTTTTGTCAAGCGAGCATTAAAAAGCATCTCCTCTCCCACAGTACTAACCTGAAGATCAAACAGGCTGTATAAGCAGTCAATTTTTATGTACATATTATAGAATCAAGAACCATTAGAAACATCCTTACAGTGAAACCTTTGTAGTCATGAGCAGGATACACCAATGTGTCCTTGGGTAAAGTAAAGATCTGGCCACATAATATTACAATGAATGAGGGACAGTCAAAGGAAAGAAAAAATAGGATATATTTTATAAGTTCTATGTCATATCTATAGTATTGAATTGCACTATTTTCGTGTCCTTGCCTGTGAATGCACCTGACTTATATAGTTGCTGTGAACTTCCACACTGCAATCAAGTTATTGAAATTAAACTTAGCTGATAAAAGCAAAAGCTAAAAGTATCTAGTAAGATTAACTCTATTGTCCAAGGCCAACCAAACCAACATGCAACACCAGAACAGGATATGTCATGAGAAACCAGTTCCCAGACAATATCGATGATACACTTCATCTGGATTGGATGAAAATGTTGACGGCCAAAACATACATATAATTCCCGATCAATGAGGCAGCTTAACTGAAAATGATGGTTATTAAGAAGCAAACAGATGAGGTTAGTGGTTGGCCTAATGGCAACCACCCCCACTGTTGGACCTTAAAGGTCATGGTTTCAAATCTCGTCGTCCCCTCCCTTGTAATAGTGCCTGACCAAAAGAAAAAACAAACAAACAGATTTTATACATAGCCAAACAGCAACACTTACATAAAATGGCACAAAATTGGTTACTGATCAGACTGGTAAACATCTAGTGTACTTACAATCAACTACTAGAACAAGAATAGAAAGAAAACTAAAGGCAACGATTTACAATACCTAGAAAAACCTTATCGTTACTGCATGCTTCATAAGTTGAATAATCCTTCTTCTAGCCATATTTAGCAATGCTAAAAATGTATGGATAATTGCATATTATGCTAAACTATCAAAAATGCCCCAGATTTCCGGATGATTGCACATTCTACGAAAAAAATAAAGAACACAAGTTCTTTTCAATTATGCGGCTATACCTGGAAGTCTGTCCTCCCACATCCGCGTATTAATAGAGCATCACCCGTGAAAGCCATCCTTGGCTGAGGCCGACTTGGTCCATCTCCTGTAACATAAGTAACACAACCTAATGTATGACCAGGGGTAGCACGAACCTGCAAGGAAAACATCATTAGTTTTAGAAGGTAATTTGGATTGGAGTTGGACACAGTTCAATGCAAGTGATGAACAGGGGGCAAAGTGATATTAGACCATAGTTTAGGTGTTCTAAGCGTAATTTACCCTAAACGATATCATAATCAACTAAATAATTGGATGGAGAGGCATTTTGAACAACTAATAAAGCTCAGAAGATCACCGATCCAAAGAGGTTAATAGAGCCCGTTGATTCTGAAAACTAGACTCTGACCAACCTGGTCAGAATCCAAGATATACACTACTTTGATTTGAGAGTGATGGTGAACCTTATAAAGTTATGATTGACTAAATATATTTATCTCAGGCCCAACATCCTTTGGACAAAAGTGCAGTATCAAATTCTCTGATTCTCATATCTATTATCTTCTGTGGTTGCCCCTAATGTTGGTCCAGAATTTCTTCATACCTGACTAATATTGGCAGTCTTTGTAATGCATCAGAGGTTAACAAGCCACTTCATGTAGAAACCATTTAAAACAAAAAATACTAGTGTACCACCAGAAAAAGATCACCAAAGCAGATTTTATCACCAGGTTCAACCACAAGATCAGCTTTTGCGTCACTTGCTTTGGAAATGATAGATTTCACACCAGGAACTTTAGTCTGCATGAACCAGTCAAGCCAGGTAACATGAGAAACAATCAGTGACAAATTCTTTTGAACTAACCCTGAAGATGATAGTGAGATGAAATACTGAAAATGTATAACCTAAAGTTTAAATGCCCCAAAGGAAGCTAAGATCTACCTTAATTAGGCCAGTCCCAGTTACATGGTCTGCATGTACATGGGTGTTTATCGCATATATAAGCTTCAAGCCCAGATCTTTAACAAGAGCAAGATCTCTGTCTACTGTCTTATCTACAGGGTCAACCAACTGCAAATTAAAAAGATCTGTCAGCATATATGCATACAACAACCAACAAAGAAAGTGAAATGGTTAGTGAACTGAATGTTATAATTCAAAATCCACTAGAGACACAGATTTTTTTTATTCATTATAGACACAGTTTACTTCAGCAATTTTGGGGTGTTATTCAAATGTGCATAACCAGTAAACCAGTGCATATTTGCTACTCTGCTTCTGTCTAGTCTCCATGGACTACTAATCCATAAGTTGTCACTGTGTAGCTAATAAAATATATCCAAAAGAACCATTTGGATTTTTGTAAATGAATCATTAGAAAGCCTACAAATTTTGTGTGAAAAAAATTTCAGAGTTCGAACCTCAATTGATTCAACTGCACACCCAAATTTTAACCTTTACTATAAGTACAAAAATTCATTTAATAATGGTATCCTTTTCAAGTTCATTTCAAAAGCACAATAAATTAACTAATAAACTAAGAGTGGGCCCTAGTGCAGTGATAAGATTGCCTCATGAGTTTGAAACAGTCTCTCGACATATGGAGAGTAAGGTTGCGTACATTAGAGCCTCCGCAGATGCCACACGACGACAGCCAACAGGAACGTCATGCATAGTGCTGCCTTTTTAAGATTTGTCAACATCATAAGGATAAGAATTTGTTTGCCAACCAAATCGGTTGTAAAATGTTTAGAAAAATTTGCTCCTGCCAAAGATGTATTTGATCATAAATTTCCAAAATTCCTCGCACAAGTGCTCTGCACAAATTGGCAAATCATTCGGTAAGTCTATCACTTTTACTCATCCAGTTGCTAATATTTATGAATCAAATAAATTGTACTCAAGTGTTCCAGTATTTGGTCACCCGCACACACCATATCTAGGCTCAGAACAAGACAAAATTCTCCATCCCTACTGTTGCAGTTTACAAATAACTTTAGAAAACCTTTAAATTCACCATAAACCCATCAAAAATTAAACACGCAAATGGGTAACCTGGCGGAGACATTAAATCAGGTCCTCACCAAACCAAATTCAGAAATAAAAGTTTTTCATGAAACCCTTTTAATCTTAATCTACAAATGCGCTAAGACTAACAAAATAGCACAATTTAAATCATTCAATTCCGGAGAACAACCATGGAAGAATAGCAAATCACCTCAAATACATTAAGATAAAATAAAGTAATATACCAGGGCGGGTTTTTCTGGGTGAGAAGCATTGGCAAGAAGGTAAGTATAGGTAGAGGACTCCTTCTCGAAGAGCTGACGGAACAGCAGCTTTGAGGGTTGTTGAGACGACGTCGTGTAAGACCCCATTTGCGATCTGAGCTTTGTTTGTGATATTCTCAATGACCCAGAAGAAGAGATGAGAGGAAAAGTTAGGTGGGGTTTTGGAGAGAGAGACGCTTGTAAGAATCGGAGTTGGAGCATTTGGGTTGTTGGCTCTATACAATCGCTGGTCGATCAAATCTATACCAAGTTGACAAAACAAATTGGAGTTTTTTAATTATGGGTGGTGATGATCGCTTAGTGATATAGGTGATATCGTCTTTGTACAAGACTGGGATGTGATGGGCATTTCCGTTGGCATGGCGCTTCTGGTTTTGCTCACTCTCGCGACCAATCCTCTGCCTTCTTTGTGACCTGTTTTGCCTTTTTTCTATAAATGTCATATACATCCCCTGTATTTGACACGAGTTCTTTTCCTCTTAAACTTTTTTTT